TAAGTAAACTGGGAGAACAAGGAATAGTTTACCTATCAGATCTATGGAGAACAGAAGAATTCATGACCAAGCAGAAGATAGAGAACATTATGAAAAGCAAAATGGATAATTTTGATTACATTAAATTGAAAAGTTTTTGCACAAACAAAGCCAATGCAACTAAGATTAGAAGGAAGGTAGAAAATTGGGAAAGAATTTTTACAACCAGTCTCTCTGATAAAGGCCTCATTTCTAAAATATATAGAGAATTAAGACAAATTTATAAGAACACAAGCCATTCCCCAATTGATAAATGGTCAAAGGATATGAACAGACAGTTCTCAGATGAAGAAATTAAAGCCATCTATAGTCATATGAAAAAATGCTCTAAATCGTTATTGATTAGAGAAATGCAAATCAAAACAACTCTGAGGTACCACATCACACCTATCAGATTGGCCAACATGACAAAACAGGAAAATGATAAATGTTGGAGAAGATGTGGGAAAATTGGAATACTAATACATTGTTGGTGGAGTTGTGAAATGATCCAACCATTTTGGAGAACAATTTGGAACTATGCCCAAAGGGCTACAAAAATGTGCATACCCTTTGATCCAGCAATAGCACTTCTAGGGCTATATCCCAAAGAGATCAACAAATGGGAAAAGGACCACATGTACAAAATATTCATAGCAGCTCTTTTTGTGGTGGCAAAGAATTGGAAATTGAGAGGATGCCCATCAATTGGGGAATGGCTGAGCAAGTTGTGGTATATGAATGTAATGGAATACTATTGTGCTGTAAGAAATGATGAACAGGCTGACTTCAGAAAAACCTGGAAAGACTTATATGGTCTGATGCTGAGTGAAGTGAGCAGAACCCAGAGGACTTTGTACACAATAACAGCCACATTATACGATGACTAATATTATTAAACTGAACCCTTCTCAGCATTACAAGGATCTAAGACATCTCCAGAGGCCTCAGGATGGAAAATGCTGTCCACATCCAAAGAAAGAACTGTGGAAGTCGAATAGCTATCACTCATCTTTACCTTCTGTTGAGTTTTGTTTCATCTTTCTGATGGTTCCTCCTATTGGTTTTAATTTGTACTTACAACTTCACTAATGTGAAAATATGTTTAATAGGAATGTAAATGTAAAGCCTATATCAGATTGTGTGCCATCTTGGGGAGGGTGGGGGGGAGGAAGAGGGAGAAAAACTTTCAACTCAAAAGCATATGGAAGTGATTGTTGATGAATCAAAATAAATTAACAAAATTTTAAAAAAATAAAAGAAAACTGAAAATGAAAAAAATAAAATAAAATAAAATAAAGTAAAGTAAAGTAAAATAAAATAAAATAAAATAAAATAAAATAAAATAAAATAAAATAAAATAAAATAAAATAAAATAAAATAAAATCTGCCCTGGCAGCACCAGAAAAACTTTCCAGTACTCCCTGGAAGAATAACCAAGCAGCCAGTCTTGTATGTTCAAAAAGCTCCCAAATACTGTAGCTGTAAGGGAGATCAAGCACTCATCTCCTTCTGAGCAGCCCAGCATCAGAGCGTCTGAAGGAGAGGGCCACAGTGCCACCGGGGTCCACCATCATGGCCACCAAACTCTCAGATTCCCCCTTTCCCAGATCACTGGTCTGACAGCAAGTCACAGGAGACTGGGTCATTTCAGCTAGACGCTTGGAAAGTGGCAGTTGAAACATTCTGTTTGCCATCCCCGAGATGACCAAAGGACCATTTATTGGCATCCCTGCCCGTGACAGCAGATCACAGCTGCCCCAGGCATCCTCCCATCCCATCCCATCATTGCTGGCTCAGGAAGCCCTCCCAATGTGCTGGAAGCCCTCCTCAGTTTCTCCCAATATCATGAAGCTACCTGGCTGTCCACCAGTTACTCCTGGCCCTCACTACGGGTCCATTGTTGACTCTTCTTGTCTTACATTTTCGGGGAAGGGAAGTGGGGCTTCTTTTGCTGCTCTTCTTTGCCTCTTGAGGGATCACATGTTACAGCCTGTTCATTCCCAACATGCCCCTCTCCATTGCCCTCCAGTGACACTCATCATTAATTCTTCCATCCACCTCTTTTTAAAATGTGGGGAAGGGAGGAAAGGGGAGAAGGATGCTATTTCCCTGGAGTTGAACAATTCAAGAAACCAAACCAGCAACTTCATCTAGGTGGGCTCCAGAGGACTTAATCCCCAACCCACCAGGGGACAAGAAGATGCCATCCTAGTCTGGAGGACAGACACTTCTATCTGATTGGAATCTACTCCCCTTCCTGACTGCTTTGAGGTCACAAGGCTGCATGGCAGCAGCTGCACCTGCCCCTCCCTCGCTACTTCTCTCTGTGTGTCATTTCTGTCATTATCGGTGGACGGGTGAAAATTCCCTCCTCTTCCCCCCAGGACTGGAATACCCTTCCCTTCATCTCCCCAGCCCTGACAGCCTTCACTGACAGCCTTCCTCTGGCTGAAAGTATACTGAAGTGACAGCAAATAGAATTTAGCAGCTAACAGGTAGCTCCAGGCAATTACCTGCCAGGCTGTGCCAGTCAACCCAAGGCAGGAGGTGACCCCATGACCTGTGTGAGAGCTGAAGATGTGGCAGAAACCATTATTAAGCAAGTAAGCAAGGGGGAGAGCTCTGTGGGGGGGAGACAATGAGAAAGGATTCAAACGCCTTGCTAGCCCCGTGCTGGCTGAGCTGGAAAAACTAGGCTGAGGAGAGGACTGGGGGCAGAGAGAGCATGAATGTCAGAGTATGAGTATGAGTGTGTGTGAGAGAGAGAGTATGAGTGTGTGAGCATGAGTGTGTGTGTGTGTATGTGTGAGAGTGTGTGTGAGTGTGTGAGAGTGTGTGTGAGTGTGTGAGAGTGTGTGTGTGTGAGAGAGTGTGAGAGAGTGTGTATGTGAGTGTGTGAGCATGAGTGTGTATGTATGTTTGAGTGTATTGTGAGAGTGTGTGTGAGCATGAGTGTATATGGGCGTGAGTGTGTGTGTGAGCATATGTGAGAGTGTGTGTACGAGTGGTTGTGTGTATCAATGTGGGTGTATGAGTGTGTGTTTGTGTGAGAGTGTGTATGTGAGTGTGTGAGCATGAGTGTGTGAATGTGAGTGTTTGTGAGTACATTGTGTGAGTGTGTGAATGTGTGAGGGTTTTTGTATGTGAATGTGTGTATTTGTGTGTATGTGTGAATGTGTATGAGTGGTTGTGCACATATATGAGTGTGTGTGTTTGTGTGAGAGTGTGTGGAATGTATGTTTGTGTGTGTATGAGCATGTGTGAGAGTGCGTATGTATGTGAGTGTGTGTGTCTGTGTGAGTCTTTGTGAATGTGTGTTTGTGTGTATGTGTGAGCGTGTGAGTATGTTTGTATATGTGTGAATGTGTGAGTTTGTCTGTGTGTGTGTGTGTGTTTATGTGTGTGTTCACAGAGGGCTACAGAATAAATTGATGCAGAGTCCCAGTCCCTGGATTGGAATTCCACTTGCTATAACTCACTCCCTGTGTGACCAGGGCACAAGTCCCTTCATCCCAGTCATTTCCTCTTCTGTAAAGTGAATGGGTTGGACTAGATGGAAAAACTGAGACTCAGAGACATGCCCAGGGTCATGTAGCTAGAAGGCCTCTGCAGCAGCAGAATTGGAACCCAGAGCCCCTGGGCTCCAAATCCAGCATCATAAATGTTGTTGTTGTTGTTCAGACATGTCCTACTCTTGGTGACCCCATTTGGAGTTTTCTTGGCAAAGAAACTGGAGTGGTCTACCATTTCCTTTTCCAGCTCATTTTACAGATGAGGAAACTGAGGCAAACAGGGTTAAGTAACTTGCCCAGGGTCATAGTAAGGGGGAGGGAAAGAAACAAGCATTTATATAGCACCAGCTATGTGCCAGGCATTGTGGTAAACACTTTACAAATATCTCATTGATAGTAAGCATCTGAGGCTGGGTTTGAACTCAGCACAATGAGTCTTCCTGACTGCAGGCTGGCATGCCATCCATTTCATCACCTAGCTGCCCCCCTATTTTTTTTGTGAGGCAATTGAGAGGTTAAGTGACTTGCCCAGGGTCACACAGCTTGTAAGTGCTATTTGCCTGAGGCCAACTTTGAACTCAGATCCTCCTGACTCCAGGGCCTGTGCTCTGCCTACTGCGCCACCTAGCTGCCCCCAAATTCTAGTTTCCCTGCTTACTGTGTGACCTGTCTGAGCCTTAGTCTCCTCACAGAGGGTCAGCATAGCAAAATAGGTGAAATGGAGTCAGGAGGACCTGGGTCCCATCTTTGATGCTCACTGTGTGACCTTAGGTGAATCCTGTAACCTTTCTAAGCCTCTAGACACCCTCTGAGGGCCCTTCTAGCTCTAGATGCCTGCCATCCTACAATCTGTAGAAGGAAGAGACTGGACCAGAGGGTCTCTACAGCCCCTTCCAGCTCTGAATGCTAGCTGACAAGGCAGGGTGTGATGAACAGAGCCCGGGAAGGACAACAAGGATAAAGCGCACCCCATTTTACCCAATCCTCCAACCACACCCCTCATAGAGAGCCACGGAAACCCTGAGCCTGGCATTCTCACAATAGCAAAGCACTGTTCTTGACGAATGAATGAAAAAGCAAAAACATTCATTAGGCACTTATCTCTGTTCCAAGCACCCACCGTTTCAAGTCCTGGGGTAAAAGAATCACGACAGTCCCTACTCATAAGGAGCTCACACTCTAATTGTGGGAAGGTAACACACACAGGAAGGTGAACAGAAAGACGCAGAAGTCCTAATGGTGCTAAGTCCAAAGACAAAGCCCAGGGGTTCTCTAACACGTTAGTAAGTTAGTAAGGAGAGTTTTGATTGTGATCCCCATTTTACAGATAGGGAAACCAAGGTCCATGGCTATACAACCAGCATCTAAGCCAGGCTTCCCGAAATCAAGTCTGGGGATGGCTCTTCTCCATAGCTTCCACCACTGCCATCTTCCATTTTCAGATTCTTTCTCCTTCTCCCCATGCAGCTACTTGATACGGTCAGTGAAGGTGGGCCAAGGATATTTCGATATTTTGAAGGCGGAGAACGCAATGAGAAAGAAGGCCTTGATGGATAAAAAGAGAGAAGAAGAAGAGAGAAACAAATTCCAGCCCCCAAAATTGTCTGCAGCTGAACCCAGTGACACTAGCCTGGGGTAGGTAAACCTTGAGGCATTAGGATTAAGGGTCTCAGAAGGGGCTCTTTCAATTGTTTTTGTTGGCGGGGCATTCAGTCATGTCTGACTCTTCATGACCCCATGGACTATGTCCGTAGGGTTCTCTGTGGCAAAGATACTGAAGTGGTTTGCCATTTCTTTCCCCAATGTGTCTCCATTTTACAGACGAGGAACTGAGGCCAATAGGGGTTAAGTGACTCACCCAGGGTGACACAGCTAGTAAGTATCTGAGGCTGAATTTGGATTCAGGTCTTCCTGATGCCAGGCCCAATGCTCTATCCACCGATCCATCTAGCTGCCCCTGCTATTTCAATACCTCTTAGGAAAATAATCAATCACACCGCTGAGAATTAAAATCATTAGGCAGATACTACTTGGCTAGGGTCAAAGGACAAGGATGAGACAAAGAGATTCCCCACCAGAAATTGCATCTGGACTCCTTAGGTAGATAGAAAGAACTGGGTTTAGCCCCTGATTGGCAAAACTAATTAGTCAAATAGGAAATAATGAGAAGGTACTTCCTTCCCCTGGCCTATAGCGTCACCCTGAGGTGTGAGCTCTTTCATAGGTAGGTCTGGTTCAACTTCCTCCCCCTGCAGTAACCTGCTGGGGTCCTGGGATCTTCAATGGGGCTGTTGCCCCAGGGTCTCTTCCTGATCTGGGACTTCTATCCCTATGTCTGAGGTTCCCTCCCTCTACCCCGGGTGAATTTGTCTTTAAAACGCAATTTGAAGAAGCTTTTGGTGCTGTTTGCCATAGGTGCATTTTGCAATGCTTGCTCCAGATGTCAAAACAGCTGGTTAGTCTGCTCTGATCCCAACAGCAAGCCAGAGCAGGGATTTGTTTCATTATTTGTATTCTGTCTTACAATCTCCCCATGGCGTTGTTGACCCATCACTAAAGGTGTTAAAGTTCATCAGATCCTGTATTTAGAGATAGAAGGGACCTTAGAGGCCATGAAGTCTCATTTTACATATGAGGAAACTGAAGCACAGAGAAGTTAAGTGAGTGTAGGAGGTGATGTAGTGAAGAATACAGGAGTGCAGCTCAAACCAAGGTCCATTGACTGCCAAAGCCACCCCCAATATGCCCCATTACCTCTGGCTTACAAGTCCAGAGGATTAGAGATTTAAAATTGGATGGGACCTTGCAGGTCACCTAATCCAATCCCCTCGTTTTAGAAATAAGGATACGAGGACCCAGTATCTCACCCAAGATCACAAGTGGGAGAAGAGCTGAAACCTGTGATTTTGTCATCTGGTCTGGGGTGAGAAGTCAACAGATCAGTGGTATCCTAACCAGTTCTACTCCCTACTCAATAATGTGAAATGGGCAGATTTAATACCTATAGTTTCCACTTCACTATTCTAATGGGATGCTTTAATGAGACTGTGTCTGGAAAGAGTGCCAGCTCCAGAGTCTTGGTACCTTCTGGGTCTGGCTCAGCCAGAGATCAAGGGTGAGATACAGGACAGAGTTTGAAGCTTTCCCGAAGTCAGTCAAAGAGAGCAACATAACACCAGGCAGAATTGCCAGGAAACAGATCCAGTCTTCCAGTCAGATACAGGTTGACAAAGCACATTGTGCTCCAAGTGAGGCTGTAGAGACAGAGGCGGCATCAGGAACTGAGCTCAGAGTGATCATTAAGAGAGAGACAGGTAAGCATCATCAGTGTAGAGCCAACCGGGACCTCTGCCGCTCTGCCCAAATGCCCCTTCAGCATTGATGATGGAAGGGCCCCGGGATACTCCCCTGCCAGGGAAGGGCTCACCCTCACCCCCAGAGTCCTAAAAATGAAACCAGCATCCTTTGGGGGAGCCCCAGAGTGGATGCAGCTCACAGAGCCTTAGCTATTTAATGATAGCAATTTCCTGACAGCCCCTTTTCTGAAGGAAGGGAGAAAGTGAATTAAATGCCTCTCCCTCCTCGCAGAAGCTAAGATAAATAGGTAAGGATGCAGGTGCTGGGTTACAGATCCTCTCCCGGCTCCCTAATAGACTTGAGAGTAACAAAGTGTGTGTTTGTATGGGGTATTTAATCCCAGATTGGAGAACGCATATCTACTTTCAAACCCATGGTTCAGATTGCAGGCCTGTGGCTTCCTTTAAAGTTTCATAAATTCCAGTGTTGGTGAATTCCACTTAGAGAGATATTGATCAGGCACTGGTATTGTAGTCCCAAGGAGTGAGAAGAAACCGGGTCCAATTCTCCTCCCATCCCCACCTTTAACCCTAGCTGCCTTGCTCTGAGCATGTCATTTGGCCGTTTTCTGACCCTCACTTTCCTTATTTGTAAAATAAGGCTAATAATGCCTCTGGTTATACTTCCCCAGCTTATAGTGAGTCTCAAATGAGATCAGAGATCAAGAGAAATCTCAGAGGTTATCAGCACCAGCCTTCTCATTTCATAGAGGAAGAAAGCAAGGCCAATTTGCCTAGGGTCACCCAGGTAGTAAGAATCAGGTCATCTGGCCCCAAAGCCAGCACTCCCTCCCTTCACCTTTCCACACTATATCCTCTATATGATATAGGTAAAGTGCTTTTCAGATTTTATTGTCATTGTTCAGTCATTTTTCAGTCATATCCAACTCTCCATGACCCCATTTGAGGTTTTCTTGGCAGAGATACTGGAGCAGTTTGCCATTTCTTTCTCCAGATTCAAACTTTATACTGCTGTACAAATATACAAATGCCTGAAGTTATCAGCATTTTTGTCATAATAATGTGGCCGGAGGGTGGTATTGTAGACAGAGCACTAGACTTGGGGTCAGGAAGAACTGAGTTCAAATCCAGCCACAGACATTTACTAGCAGTGTGACCCTGGTCAAGTTACTACAGTTTACCTCAGTTTCTTCATCTGTAAAATGGGAATGATAATAATAATAGTACCTATTTCCCAGGTTTGTTGTGAGGATCAAATAAGATAATCATTCATAAAGTACTTTACAAACATTAAAGTGTTATGTAAATACCATGTATTATAATTATAGTATTATGATTATTATTATTATTAGATGGAGGGCTTGACTCAGCATCAGATTGATCCTAGTTTCAGATACCACCCTCTGACACCTACTGTAACACCAGGAAAATCACTTCACCTTTTCTGGGCCTCAGTTTACATATCCATAAAATGGGTAAATAATAGCTAAAGTAACTTTTACAGGGCTGCTCTGAGGCTCCAGTGAAATCACATAAGTAAAGCCCTTTGCAAAACTTAGAGTGCTATGGAAATATCTCACTAGAGCTGTTCAGTGCTGGCCATTCCTAGACTCAGAAGATGCCAGGGTGGAAAGGGCCTTTAGATGTCATCTAGTCTGACTCTTTCATTTGATGATGAGAAAACTAAAACCCAGAAGAGCAAGTGTCCAACCCAAGGATGCACAGCCAGGTAATAGCAGAGCTGGGGCCACCAAAGCCAGAGCTTGTGGACGTTCACTGTCTCTCCAACCATATCCTAGTGGATGAATCATCTATTAATGCTCCATAGGAGATCAGCAGTCTGCCAAGGACAGCAAAACATCAAGAGCTCCTCTCAGGAAAATAATCACAGCATCAATAAGCCTTCCTGGGTTTTATGCTGGGCATTGAGAATGTGATAATCATTGATGATGATAATAATAATAATAATACTTGATTCTGTAGCTCTTTAAAGGTCCACAAAACTGTCTTTCTCACTTCTGATGCATAAGGCTGTATGACACTGGGCAATTTGTTTCACCTCTCGATACCTCAGGCAGCTCTCTAAGACTGCAAGATGCTAAGCTGGTATCAAACCACATTGCTAGAGGGAGTTTTCTAGTTCTCATCACCAATGAAATCATGGGAAAGGAAAGAAGGAAGGAGAGAGAAAGAGAAAGGAAAGAATAAAATTAGGAAAGAGAAAGAAAGGAAGGAAGGGAGGAAGGAAGGAAGGAAGGAAGGAAGGAAGGAAGGAAGGAAGGGAGGGAGGGAGGGAGGAAGGGAGGAAGGGAGGGAGGAGGAAGGAAGGAAGGAAGGAAGGAAGGAAGGAAGGAAGGAAGGAAGGAAGGGAGGGAGGGAGGGAGGGAGGAAGAAAGGAAGGGAGGAAGGAAGGAAGGTGGAAGGGAGGAAGGAAGGGGAAGAAAAGAGAGAGAAAAAAACTAGAGTGAGGAAAAGGAGGAATCAACAGGGAGAACCTTTTTCTAAGTTGAAAAAAAAAAACTTCCTAGAAGCATAAAACACTATGAGTCAGCTAAGAAAGTTATTAGGAATGACAAAAGATGGGAATAGTCAACACTGAAGGGGTTGTGGGAAAAGAGGCACATTGGTGCCTTGTTGGTGGAGCTGGGGATCAGTATAGCCTCTCTGGAAAGCAATTCAGAATTATGCAAATATAGTGACCAAAATGCCCAGAACCTTGCACCCAGAGATCTCACTACTAAGCATATACCCCAAGGAGATCACTGAAAGAAGAAAGTCCCCATCTGCCACAAACTATTTATAGCAGCGCTTTATATGGTAGCAAAGGATGGGAAACAAAGTGGGTGCCTATTAATTAGGGAATGGCTGATCAAACTGTGTTCTATTAACATAATGGAATGTTCACTGGTCTAAAAGATGATTAAAGTCATGACTACAGAGAAGCATGGGAAAACTGGATGAACTGAGGCAGAGAGAAGTAAAGAGCTGAATTTTTTAAAATGTACATTATAACAATAACACAAATGGGGAAAAGAGCCATAAAATAATCTAAAGTGAATATTGTCGAATCACACAGAACACACCTGGCCCCAAACAAGAGATGGGAGAAGACACACCCACCCCACATCTTTGCATAAGGAAGAGGTCCACAGATGTGGAGCAGGGAACATATTTTTGGATTTTTCCAATGTATTGATTAGTTTTCTCTGATTTTTTTTTATTCTTCCTCTTTTTTATTGAAAAAAAAAATTCTTTGTTATATGGAAAGGCCAGGAAGGAAAGAGAGAAGGATTCTTGGAGAAATTTAGATAATATGAAAACAAAAGACATCAGTAAAAATTTTACTCTTAAAAAGGAAAGTTATTAAGCCAGGCACAAAGGCAGAGGAGGAAGAATTTAAAAGAGAATTGGGTTTAAATCCTGTCTCTGACATTAACTATGGGGAGGTTGGAGGGCAGAGAAGAAGGGAGAGAAGAAAGAAGGTATGGAAAGAATGATAGGGGAAAGGAGAAAAAAGAAGAGGAAAGAAAATAGGAAGAAGCCTTATTTCTCAAATATATAAAGAACAGAATCAAATTTATAAAAATATGAGTCATTCCCCAATTGATAAATGGTCAAAGAATATAAAGTCAGTTTTCAGAAGAAGAAATCAAAGCTGTAGTCATATGAAAAATGTTCTACCTCACTATTGCTTAGAGAAATGCAAATTAAAAACAACCACCTCACACCTATTGGATTGGCTAATAAGGAATTTTAAAAATGGAAAATGACAAATGTTGGAAGACATGTGTAAAAATTGGGAAACTAATGCACTGTCGGTGGAGTTGTGAACTGATCCAACCATTCTAAAGAACAATTTGAAACTATGCCCAAAGGACTATAAAACTGTGCATGCCCTTTGCCCCAGCAATTCCACTACTGGGTCTCTATCCCAAAGACATAAAAAGGGGGGAAATGACCTGTTTGTACAAAAATATTTATAACAGCTTTTTGTAGGGACAAAGAATTGGACATTGAAGGAATGCCTACCCATTGGGGAATGGCTGAACAAGTTATGGTATATGATTGTGAAGGAATACTATTGTGCTACAAGAAATGACAAACAGAATGCTTTCATAGAAACCTAGGAAGACTTATATGAACTGATGCAAAGTTAAGTGAGCAGAGCCAGACCATCATACACAGTAACAGCAATATTGTTCTATGATTAACTATGAATAGCTTAGCTATTCTTAGCAATACAATTATCCAAGACAATTTAAAAGGACTTATGTTGAAAAATGCTATCCACCTCCTGAGAGATTATTCATGGCGTCTGAGTGCAGATTGAAGCATATTTTTTTCACTTTATTTTTCTTTTTTTTTGCAACATGGAAACGTTTTGCATGATTTCACATGTACACTTGATATCACATTTCTTGCCTTCACAATGAGTGAGGGAGGGGAAGAGAGAGAACTCAAAAATGTAAATGAATGTGAAAAAAAACAATAAATTAAAAATTAAAAAATAAAGATAAGTAGACAGTAAAAAGGAGGGATGAAGAAACAGAAAAGAGGAAGAAAGGAGCGAGGTAAAGAAATGACAAAAGATGAGGCAGTTAGGTGGGGCAGTGGATAGAGCTCCAGCCTTGGAGTCAGGAGGACTTGAGTTCAAATGTGACCTCAGACAATTGACACTTACTAGCTGTGTGACCCTGGGCAAGTCAATTAACCTCGATTGCCTCACAAAAAAAAAAAAAGGAAAAGGAAAAAAAAAACGACCAAAGAGAAGAAGAGGAAAGGAAAGAGGAGAGTTAAGGAAAGAGGAGATGCCAAGGAGGACAAGAGGTGAGATGAGAAGAAAGGAAAGAGGAGACACTAGGGTCTTCCAACGCACTTGCATCGTTTCTTGTTAGCTTGCCGTGTTCTAAAGGGACTCTGTACAATTGAAAAAATACTTGGAGTTAGAAAATCTTGCCCCATCACAACTGGTGTGAGGATCCTGGGCAGGCCACTAACTGCCTCTGGGCCTCAGTTTCCTCATGTGTAAAATGAAGAGCTGGTGGCCTCTGGGGTCCCTTCCGGCCCTAGGACCCACAATCCCGTGACCCAGGAAGGCCATAGCCTGGGGCTTCACTTATTCCTTGGAAAAATCCTCAAGTAACTAATGAAAGGGGCTTCTGAGGTCCACTGGAAGGAAGTCAAAGAAAACTACCCCTGGACTCTTTAGTCAAATAGTTCCTAAGCTTTGTAATTCCAGATTAAGCAGGGTGGCAAAGAACTGCACCTCACCCCATGATCACTGAATCTAATCAGTTCAAATGAGGTAATGTTTGTAAGGCATTTACCACAGTGCCTGGAACATAGTAAACACTGTATTAATGCTAATTATCATTGACTGAACTATAAGATAGTCACTCAGAGAGACAATTTTATGTATTTGAAGTCTCAGGACCTGGATTCAAATCCTAACACACTTTTTCCTACCTGAATATTCTTGGGTCAGTCATTTCTGTTCTCTAGGTCTCCATTTCTTCATCTGTAAAATGAGGGAGGCAGTGTTGAATGAGACGGATTCCAAGGTCCCTTCCATTTATAAATCTATGACTAGGGTTTGAATCCTGATTTTGCTGTCTCTGTGACCCAGGAAAAGTCACTTCAACCTTCCAGGTTCAGTTCAATTCAATCCAATAAACATTTATTAAGCACCTACTATGTGCTAGGCACTGTGCTAAGGACTGGGGATACAAAAAGAGGCAAAACACAGTCCCTGCCCTCAAGCGGCTTACAATCTGACGGAGGAACACTGGACAAGGTGATACAAGGAATGAGCCTGGTGGAATTTCATTCAGTTCAATGCTTCTGCCTTTTCCCCCCACAGCTTGTACGATCGAGTGAGAAAAATAGAGGGGATGCCAGATGTCCTTCTACGGCCTTTCAACCCGGTGCACAACTGTCTGAGTTCGCCATCGCTATCGCAGGCACAAGTGTGAGTCCCCCAGACTCCTTTCTGTCCTGTTGGGTTTGCAGCCTTCTAAGTAGGAACCAAAGAAAAATGAGTCAGCGTGGCAATGCGTGTGGGCCGCCCTCCCAAGCTGCTTAGCTATGTGCAATGGTAACAGAAAGCAGAGCCTGAATGTTAAAGCAAAATGGGAAGGGGCCAGCATTGAGGCTATCTGTTATTTGTTAATCCAGGCATCAAAATGGGGAATATTTTTCCAGCATCAGGTAAAAAAAAATGTCTCCCAACTCTTAGTGTGAGAGGCAACGTGGAATCATGGATAGACAGCTAGCCTTAAAATCAGAAGACCTGAATTCACATCTGCCTCTTGATATATGTTGGCTGCGTGACCCTAGGCAAGTCACTTTAACTCTTTTAAAACAGGGATTCCTAGCCATTTTTGTGTTCTGGACCCCTTAGGTAGTTGGGTGACACCTAGGGTAACCCCTTTCTCAGAATCTTGTTCACAAATAATTGAAGTTTCAGTTAAAAGTTAGTTTTGGGGGGGAGGGAATATGCCATTTTTTTTTCATGTTCATGGATTCCCTGAAATCTATGCAGGGCCTCCTTGGGTCATAACCTGGAGATGCCAGGTTGAAAATCCCTGCTTTAAAACTATAAGTTACAAAATTGAATTGCCAGAGTGACTTTCCTCATCTGGACTCCCCTATATCAGAGGAAACATAGGTCTAGTCTCTATCCCAAACACATAATAACTGTGTGACCCTGGGCAAGTCACTTCCCTGTGCCTCAGTTTCCTCATCTGTAAAATGAGAGGGTTTAACTCAGTGGCCTCTAAGTTCCCTTCAAGGTGTTCAATCTAAGGTCTGGGTAAGTTATTGGGGGCATACGTTGGTTCTGCCGCAGGAAGAACTTCCTGACCCAAAGAGTTGTCCAAAATTGGAATGGACTGATTTGAGAAATGGTGGCCACCTCCTCCCCAGAGGTCTTTAGGAAGAAGTTGGCTCCCTGTAGGGTTGGAAGAGACCTCAAGGGCCACGGAGCCCAACCCTCTCATTTTACAGGTGAGCAAACTGAAGTCAGAGAGGGGAAGTTCTTAAGGATCGTAGGTCTAGTATTTGAAGAGACATCAGATGCCATTAAGGCAAAGCCCTTCATTTTAAAGTTGAGGAAACTGAGGCCCAGAGAGATGAAATGACTTAAGGTCATAGATCAGAGGTTCAGAGGTGAAAGGAAGTCTAGAAGCCTCCTCACCCATTTGCCCATTTTACAGAAGAGAAAGTTGGAACCAGGGAGGTTAAGTCACACAAGTTAATAAGGATCACAGGTGGGATTTGAACTCAGGACCTCTGTCCCCAGAATCAGTCTTCTTTCCACCTGATGAACTCTTCCAAGAGTTACTTTGTCCGTAAAGGTGGGTGAAAGGTTGAAAATTGTGTACTTTGTGTTTTGGACAGTGTCCCTAGTTGTGAACGCTCCCAAGCTCACTAAAACCTCCAACTCCCAATATTACCTTACAATCATTCCCTGTGCATGCATGAGGCAGGTAGGTGGCACAGTGGATGGAGTGTCTGGGCCTAGAGTCAGGAAGATCTGATTACTAAAAGTCAGGTAGACCTCAGACACTTATTAGCTGTGGACAAATCATTTAACCCTGTTTGCCTCAGTTTCTTCATCTGTAAAGTGAGCTGGAGAAGGAAATGGCAAACCACTCCAGCATCTTGGCCAAGAAGACTCCAAATGGGGTCATGAAGAGTCAGGAATGACTGAAACAACTGAACATCAAATACACGAGTGTCTTCCTACTCCAATTGAGTTACGTGAATCCCCCTTAGAGGACACTCTGGACTGACATTGGTACCAGGGCTTGCTGATTACCTTTCCCACCTACTTTCCTGGAAATGGGGAGGGCAGATTCCTCCTTATGGGTGTGGAAAGCCCATGAACCTGGGAATATTGATCTCTCTGCTTTCAGAGAATGATCATTTCCAAGTCATCATAATGGGCAGAGCTTTCCCGGAGTTATCCCGGGGGATAGGGAAGGACCAGGGTTAGTTGGGAAGATGCTAAAGTTGTTTCCAGTAAGGAGCATCCAGACCATTAACCCTATCCTGTGTTGATCCGTGGAGATGCAGCCCTGGCAGCCTCTGGCTTATGGATGTCTCATTTACACAAGATCACAGCCCTAGAGGTGGAAGGGGACTTCAGAGGGAATTTAATCCAACCCTCTCACTTTGTCTGATGAGGAAACTAAAAGTGACTTGCTTTTCTCTGGCCCTCAAAGCAACGTTATGAGATAGGTGTCATTATTGCCCCCATTTTAAAAATGAGGAAACTGAGGCTCAGTGACGTTAGTGTGACTTGCTCAGGGATCACACAGAACATAAGTGTCTGAGACAGAATAGGAAGTGACTTATCCAAGGTCACCTAAAACTCAAGCGTCAGAGGCAGGACTTGGGGCTATCTAGTCTGACCTATAACCTGAACAAGAATCTCCACTGTTACATCCCTGACAGTCTTTGTCTGAAGACACAGCCAGTGAGGGGAGATCTCAGCATCTTCTGAGACATAATAAATAGGGTGCTAGCTCTGGGTTCAAATCCTGTCTTCAATGTTTACTTTCTTTGTGACCTGGGGCAAGTCACTTCAAATTCTGCCTCAGACATTTAAGAGCTGTGTGATCCTAAGCAATGCCTGCTTGCCTCAGTTTCCTTCATCTGTAAAATGGGTGCCATACTAGCACTTCCCTCATGAGGTTGCTATGAAGATCAGCTAAGATTAAATCACCAAGTGGATTATTTATGTAGGTAGCACTTAGTACATGCTTTTCATTCTCTCAGCAGAAGTATTACTAGTACTATCATTGTTATTATTATTATTAATCCTCTCCGTCTTTGAACAACTCTGGCTGTTGAGAAATGTCTCCTTATATCAAACCTAAATTGGCACCCACCCCCCGTGCAGCTCTCTCCTTGAAGAAGAAGCCTGTTCAGAGAGAGGAGGCGTCTTCCCCAAGGGCCTTGAACCTGGGCTCTTCAAAGCCATATGTTTCCCCTGCCAGCCCCTGGCCTTACAAGCCCTTCCGGAGGGTCCAACCCCTTCATTTTACAGATGATGTGAGTGAAACCTGGAGTAGTTACACAGGGTGAGATAGGATTTGAACTCAGGTCTTCCTGATTCCAAGTCCAGAACATAATCCTTCACTACCTACCTCTCAAGAATTGACCTTGTACATGTTTCTAATTTACTCATCTGTGTATGTTGCTGAGGCAGCATAGGACAGTGGACAGGGCATTGAATTTGGGCTCAGAGGTCCCAGGTTCAAATCCTGCTTCAGACACTTAGCTGGGTGATCCCAGGGTAAGTGCCTTCCCCTCTCTGGACCTCAGTTACTGTAATTGTAAAATGAAGGGGTTGGCCCAGGGAGCCTCAGGGGTCCCTTCCGGCTCTCCATATATGGTCCCGTGGTGACAAGGGTAGGTGTTATTGGAAGGGTCACTGGGCTTGGTGACCTTATGACATCACTTCCTGTGCCTCAGTTTCCTCAAGTGAGACAGTTGCTCCCTTCCAGACCTAGATGAAGGATTCTTTATCTACTGATAGAAGCTCCCTGAGGGCAGGGGATGTTTTCCTTTTTGTCTGTGTCCTCTCTGCCCAGCACAGTGGCTGGCACATAGCAGGGGCTTCATAAATGCTTTGGATCGGATTGAACCTAATCTGAGAAGGGAGAAGATTCTACAAATGAGGGGCATCAGGGAGGGCTTCCCATAGGAGGCGGCACATGAAGCAGCAGCTGGGGAGAGGGGTTCCTGCCCCTTGGTGTATCCCAAAGAGGCATCATCCACTCTCATGGTGACTACATTCAGCATTTCAGGGGCACCGCGGGCTGCATGGGCGAGAGTTCGTCAGCGCGAGTGGTCTAGGGCATGATGGTGCAGTGGGAACAGGGGTTGGATTTGGAAGCTGAGGCCCTGGGGAAAAGCCCAACCCTGCTCATTTATGCCCTGAGTGACCTTGGATGAGTCATTGAACATTCTCAGAGCCTCGGTTCCTCATCTGTAAAACGAGAGGTTTGAGCTTCCTGATCATAAAGGTCCCTTCCAATTCTAATCCTGATTATGAGACGAGCGTCCTTGGCCGAAGTACTTCTTACTGGGCCTCAGTTTCTTCTGCTGTAAAATGAGGGGCCTGGACTAGAAAATCTCTGAAGTGCCTTCCTTCTTTCTCCAAAGCCCCTAACCCTCCTTATATCCTCGATTCTCCATGACCAGAGTTTTCTCTTTGTCTTGGTAGAGAGCCCCTTTTCCGGCAACTCTGTGCCCTCCACTGGCTCCTGGAAGCACTGACCATTGACCACAACCACCACAGCATGAAACCAGTGATAACCTGCTGGAATGAAAAGTAAGCCACACACTTTCTTTTTTTTTTGTCTTTTTCTTTTCTTTTTTTATTTTTTGGTTAGGCAATGGGGTTAAGTGATTTGACCAGGGTCACACAGCTAGTGAGAGTTATGTGTCTGAGGCTGGATTTGAACTCAGGTCCTCCTGAATCCAGGGCCAGTGCTCTACCCACTGCACCACCTAGCTGCCCCCAGCCACACATTTTCCAAAGAGGGTTATTTTTCCCCTCTTCTATATGCCTTGTTTTTCCTTATCCCCATTCTCATCCTCTGTCTTCTATAGTTCTTCCCCTCTTCCTCATTCTCATTCTTCTTTTCTTCCTCTTCCTTTTTTTCCTTATTCCTTTCCTTCTCTCTTCTTCCTCCTCTCTTTCTTCTTTTCCTCTTCCTCTCTTCTTCATCTTCTCTGCTTCCTCCTCCTCCTCCTCAAACCATTCTCTTTCTCCTCTTCTCATTCTCCTTCTCCTCCTCCTTCTTCTTCTACTTCTTCTACTTATTATTATTATTATTATTATTATTATTATTATTATACTTCTTTTTCTTCTACTTCTTCTTCTTCCTCTTCTGCTCCTTCTTCTGCTTCTGCTTCTTCTTCCTCTTCTCCTCCTCCTCTTCCTCTTATTCCTCATTTTCCTTTTCCTCTTCTTTTTTGTTTTTCTATGTTATGGTGTTATGCTGTCGTGATTGCTTGATTTTTTTTTTGCAAGAGGTGAGTGGGAAGAGATGATTCTTAGTAAATTCTGTGGGACTAACAATTCGGCTAGGTGGCATAGTAGAGAGAATGGCAAACAGAGGTAAAGAGACTTGCCTAGGGTCCCAAAGCTAGTAACTGTCTAAGGCTGGATTTGAACTCATCTTCCTGACTCCAGTTCCAAAACTCTCTCCACTGAGCCACCTAGATGCCATGATTTATAATATTAAAATGATGATAATTCTTCAAAATGTTCAGAATTGACGATGTTGGAATGTTGGTGTGCACACACACACACCCACACACACACCCATGGTACAAGCTACAACTCAGTTCATGGTCCTCTAGGAGTTGCTGTGACCAGAAAGCTCGTTCCCCTCTGCACCAAGCCAGGCTGGCCCTTGGAAGGCAGACATGTCATCCAGTCCATCTCAGAGCCTTTGCAGCCCAGCAGGACTTTCCAGAGCCTGTGCTCCTTTGGTCCAGCCTTCAAGAACCTTCCTTCTTACTGTGGAGCAATAGAGGGACGCTTCGGCAGACGGCTTAGGAAGCTGCCCTTGGAGTCAGAAGAGGTCTGAGTTCAAGTCCCACCTCTATCACACGATGACTGAGTGACCCTGGGCAAATCACTTAACCTTTTAGGCAGTCTGGCATCTTCAAAGACTTAAAAGTTGCAGTGGTAGAAGGTATTTGCTACCCAAGTGTTCTCCATGCTAATGAAATCACAGGTTGAGTCCAAAAATAATAAGTGAGTGATACTGATCTATCTATTCAACCAACAAGACATTCTCAGTTCCTTGACTCGGGCATTTTCTCTGGCTGTTCCCCATGCTTGAAATGTTCCCTTCCCACCTCCACCTCGTGGTTTCCTTCAAGTGTCTTGCAGGAAGCCTTCCCCAGCCTCTCCCCTTAATTCCAGTTCCTTTCCTCTATTACTATTTCCCATTTATCCTGTATAGAGCTCACTTTGTATATACTTGTTTGCTTGTGTGTCCCCCTTTAAATTGTAAGCTCCTTGAGGACAGGGACTGCCTTTTGCCTCTTCTTCTATCCCCACCACTTAACACAGTGCCTGGCACAAAATCTTGCTCAATAAATATTGATTGAATGAATGAACAAATGAAAAAACATTGTTCCCCCCCCCTTTTTGTTGCATGGAAAGGAAGAGGGAAGAGATGATTTTTAGTGAATTCTATAGGACTGATAATTCCATATTTTTCTAATTATTTTCTTAGTGATCTTTGAATTGAATTAAAACAAATTGAATTGTTTCTCAAACTTGATTTCAATTCATATGCTTTCAGTAACTTCTAGGTTTTTTAACAAATATAGTAATAACAACAATAATAATACATTCAATTGTAAGCTCCTTGAGGTCACGGACTGTCTTTGTTTTTACTGAACATTTGTATTCCCCACATTTAGCATGGTACATGCCACATGGTGGTCAATTAATGCATGTTTATTGTCTACTGGTTTTTACTAGTATAGATCACTTTAAAGGGTCATCCATCCTCTGGGTACAGTGGGAAGAGTAACCCATAACTCTGCAACACAGATTCCTGAGGCCTAGGATGGAATCCCTCATCAGATGGAGGTGGAGATGGGGAGGGCAGGGGCTCAGAGAGAGAAGAAAAACATCCTTTCCTTCCCTGTACTAGTCAGTTTGAGAAATGTGCATGGCGCTTGACGGAAACTCATTAACAGCTATAGGGCACACACCCCAGAATACTTGATGGCCTGCCACAATGTGTGAGCAGAGACTTCCATCAAGGGCTTGGTCCCATCCAGATCTTTACAGATTAGAAGCCCCAAAACAAAAGGTATTCAGGCAGACTCTCCCTTGATTCCCACCAGGAGTTGGGGATCCCCACTTTTGTTCTTTAAATTGGAGGTGCAATCAATAAAGGTTGCACTTGGAACCAGGAAGACCAGAGATGGAACCCTAGCTCAGGCACTGACAAGCTGAGTGACCCTGGGCAAGTCTCACTTTCCTCATCTGTAAAATGAGGACAATAATTAGCACCAAATTCCCATGGTTGGTGTGAGGATCAAATGAGAAAACCCACAGAAAACACTTTGCAAACCTTAGAGCCCAATCTGATACAAAGTGTCCCAAAAGTCTTAGTGAAGTCTTAAGCCATTAAAACTTGTGATCCAGTGATCCTCTGGCCTCTCTGAGCCTCAGTTTCCTCAACTGCAAAATGAGAAGGTTGGCCTAGAGTTTTGGGAAACCTTGTGTAAATGCTAGGTCTTATTCGTAATGATAATAAAATTTTTGTAGGTAATAGTGATGTTTGATGCATATATCAAGGCTCAAAAATGCCCTCTTAAGAAGTGGGGGGCTAGGGGTATGGATTATGCAGACTCAGAATCTGATGTTTGGTTAGTTTTTGCCAAACTGCTTTTTATTTCCTCTTTTTAAATGTTTTTTTTATAAGAAATGGCTTAAGGAGTAGAGGTAGAATGTATTTGGAAATAAAAGTGGTGTGGAAAAAAACATGGATTGAGTGCTTACTATGCACCAGGACTTTGCTCAGTGCTGGACATATAAAGAAAGGCAAAATATAGTCTCTACCTTCAAGGGTGAGCTACTTCCATGGCTCTAGGATTGCCTCCTTTCCAATGATGTGCTTTGATGGCCATCCAAACCTGGCCAGCCTGTCTGAATCTCAGCGATGCCTTCTCACACATTCACCACAGAAGCTTAACCCGGGGTGCTTGAGGTACTTGGACTTCTCTTGACTTCATAAGGGTACCAACAGAATAACCAAATTTTCAGGCTGGAAAGGCCCTTCACAGCCATCTAGTCCAATCCATAGCCAAAAGACATCCATGCTATTCCACACCAGACAAGTAGTGATCCAGCCTCTGCTTGAAGACCTCCACTAAGTGGTCCCCACCATCTCTCAAGGAAGCCCATTCCACTAGGGGCAGAGCTAATGCTTGCTCAACCTCTCATCATCTTCCACCCCACTCTACTTCCTGGAGTCTCTCCATGGTCCTTTGGACTATCTGTGTCACCAGCCTTTGAAGACTTTAATTTTCCATGACTCTCAGAGTTGCTGTGGCCAAGACACTCATAGGATCATAGATCTAGAATTAGAGTTTGAAGAGATCTTTAAGGTCCCCTCATTTAACAGCTGAAGAAACTGAAACTCAAGAAAATTAAGTGACTTGCTCAGGTTCACATAATTAGAAAGCCCCAGAGATGGGATTTGAACTCAGGTCCTCAGTGCTCTTTCCGCTGAACCATAATGCCTCTCCCTGATGGTCAGTCTTCCAATGATGGACCTTCTCACATCTAGCAAGACTGGTCTCAAGTCAACAAGATCATAAGTTTAGAAGAGAAGGGAATGGGAAAGAGAACAAGCATTTATTGAGCCCAACTTATGTGCCTGGTAGGCAGCTAGGTGGCGCCATAGTGCATAGAGTGCTAGGCCCAAAGTCAGGAAGACTCATCTTCATGAGTTCAAATCTGGCCTCAGATACTTACTAGCTGGAAGACCCTGGGCTAGTCACTTAACCTTGTTTGTTTCAATTTCTTCATCTGTAAAATGAGCTGGAGAAGAAAATGACAAACCACTCCATTATATTTGCCAAGAAAATTCCAAACGAAGTCATGAAGAGTCAGAAGGGACTGAAAATGACTGAACAGCAAATATGTACCAGGCACTGAGCTAAATGCTTTGCAGATATTATCTCATTTGCCTATAGAGATCATGTCTCATTAACTACAGGAAACTGAGACCCTAAGCTAACTGACCCATCAAAGATATTAGATACTAGACATAGATATTAGGTGTAATACTAGAATTTGAACACAGTTCCTCTGACTCCCCGTATCTAGCCCTTATTCCACTGCAGGCTTTTGCTCAAGGCCTTTCCAACTTGGTAGGACCTTGGAGAAAAAACAAACAAACAAACAAACGTGCTCTGTAGGCATAGCCAAGATCACAACCATGCCACCAGAAGGGAGAAGAGGAGGAATTTAAAAGACAATGAACATTTTTCAAGGACACTTAGCAATATAATTGCCCCTCACCATGGCAACTGAGCATAATCCAGGAAGCGGAGAGTTTAGTATTTCCCCAGCAAATCCATTTGGTGTTTGCAAACCAGTCTAGATTAATGAAGCAAAAGGCAGCCCCTGTGATCACTCCGGGCCAGAAAGAAACGTTGGGAAGAAGGTCACTGGTATTAGAAGAAATAGAGCAATCTTTAAAAATATCCCTCCCTTCCTTTTGATCCAGAAACCCCCCTGCTAGGCAGAAAGAGAGGTTTCAGAGACAAAATATTCATAGCAGCACT